CTTAAAAGCTTGACGGACAAATGGAATAAGTATACTGAGGTGATTGCAGATTATATCGAAAAATAACCGATATTTTGCAAAACTTATTGAACGCCCCTCGTACGTATCTGTGTGACAATATCTCACTTTGTTACAACACCACACTGTGTTACAGTACGTGACTTTGTCACTGTGTTACAAAACATCACTTTGCTATACATATCTCACAATGTTACGATACATCAATCTGTTACAATATCTCACTGTGTTAAAATATCTAACAATGTTACAATACACCACTGTTACAATATCTCACTATGTGACTGTGCGAGAAGATTTCACTGTGTCACAATATATCACTTTGTTGCAATAGCTTACAATGTTGCAATACATCACTGTGTTACAATACAACTCTTTGCCACCATACATCACATTGTCACAATACATTACTGTGTGTAACATAGCTCTCCCGCCACGAGTTAGTCTATCGCGACTGCAGTCATACACACCTTGTGAGTGTGCTGGGCTATGAAAACAAAGAAATTACCCTGTTTGTCCAAACTGGGATGTAGACGATGACAATTGTCACATTTTATTATCTGGTTCTGGAAAGGTTATTTACTGGTCAACTCTGAAGTACACCGAGTCGCTATCTAAAAAACACATGACCAACCATGTGTCACTCTCCAGGCGCCATGTGTACTACAACACAAAAGTCTTTGACTTTATATTGCAAAATTACGGCTGAGCCCTCCACAGAAACTCCACGGCAATTTTGTAAAACTTTAGCATAGCAACGCAAACACTCTGCAGAATGTTAAAGAACCTTTTGGTGGAAGTTTTAAGCAGTTACAAAGACGATATTGTGTGTTTTGATCATGTGTCACAGTCCAGGTTGGTTGATGTGTTGTTTTACGCCGCACTCAGCAATATTCCAGCTATATGACGGCGGTCTGTAAATAATCGAGTCTGGACCAGACATTCCAGCAATTTATATCATGAGCATCGATCCACACAATTGGGACATGACGACATGCATCAACCAAGTCAGCGTGCCTGACCAACCGATCCCGTTAGTCGCCTCTTACGACGAGCATAGTCGCCTTTACGGCAAGTATGGGTTGCTGAAGACCTATTCTACCCCGGATCTTCACGGGTCTGATTCGGGTCGTCACTGCCCAGGAGCTATGTAGGGTAAACGTGCAGTTACTTCATGGCAAAGGGATTATCAATGATAGAAGACAGATGGTACTGGACTCAAGTCCATAGTGCAGTAAGCATCAGCAACTCGTTCCCGTCATCCAGGGATAAACTCTGGACCACCAGACCCAAAGGGCGAAGTCATGTTACCCCTTTAATACATAGTTAACAGGGAGCATACATCACTGTCTTACAATACAATACATCACAGTCTTACAATACAATGCATCACTGTCTTACAATACAATACATCACTGTCTTACATTACAATACATCACTGTTTTACAATACAATACATCACTGTCTTACAATACAATACATCACTTTCTTACATTACAATACATCACTGTCTTACGATACAATACATCAATGTCATACAATACATTTCTTTATCAAAATACATCATTTGTTACAATACCTCACTGTGTTAAAACACCTTATCTTCCCGTTGTAGTGGAGAGCTTTGAGTACATTGATGTGAAGGCACCACGGAGAGCTGTATGGTGAATAGATTGATGTGAAGGCACCACGGAGAGCTGCATATTGAATATATTGATGTGAAGGCATCACGGAGAGCTGCATGGTGAATTTATTGATGTGAAGGCACCACGGAGAGCTGTAAGGTGAATATATTGATGTGAAGGCACCACGGAGAGCTGTATGGTGAATATATTGATGTGAAGGCACCACGATGAGCTGTATGGTGAATACATTAATGTGAAGGCACCATAGATAGCTGTAAGGTGAATATATTGATGTGAAGGCACAACAGAGAGCAGTACGGTAAATAAATTGATTTGAAGGTATCACGGAGAGTTGCATGGTGAATATATTGACGTGAAGGCACCACGGAGAGCTGTATTGTGAATATATTTATGTGAAGGCACCACGGAGAGCTGTAAGGCGAATATATTGATGTGAAGGCACCACGGAGAGCTGTATGGTGAATACATTGATGTGAAGGCACCACGGAGAACTGTATGGTGAATACATTGATGTGAAGGCACCACGGAGAGCTGTATGGTGAATATATTTACTTGAAGGCACCACAGAGAGCTGCATGGTGAATACATTGATGTGGAGGTACCACGGGGGGATGTATGGTGAATAAATTGATGCGAAGGCACCAGGGAGAGCTGTATTGTGAATACATTGATGTGAAGGCACCACGGAGAGCTGTATGGTGGATAACATCATGTAAAGTGCGAGTATAGTGTAGTTAATACAATCTGAAGAGTTGCATGGCAAGTAGATTGAAGTGAACTCAGTATGGCGAGTTGCATACTACAAACAACACGCACATGGCAGCGTGTAGTATAAACAAAGTCCCACAGAGAACGATGACACGTAATCAACCATTTCACCTTCCCTGAACGACAATGTTGTTGCCTTTTTACAACAATCAATATGTGTTTGGAACATATTCTTATACTTATGAAACACAACTTGACAGTATGATATGTTTCAGGTGGGAGCGTTGTGTTCAAGATGGTGGACGCTGAAGTCAATAACAAAGACTGGCATTTCGTCATCGTCATTACAGTGTCGTTCCTGACGCTGTTCTTCAACGCAAGTTTAACTTACGCCTCGGGTGTGCTCCATGTGGCGTTACTGGAGACGTACCACGCTGACGTTGATGTGACAGTCTGGCTCGGGTCTCTATTCTTTAGCATGTCAACTCTTGCAGGTTTGTCTGCCATTTGTTTTTTTGTTTGTCGGTCAACATCGCACTCAATAACATTTCAGCTACATGAAGGTGGTCTGTATATAATCGAGCCGGAAAGAGACAATTTAGTGGTTGACATCATGACCATCGCTCTACGCAATTGGGATACGATAACATGCATCAACAAAGTCAGCCAGTCGGACCACTCTATCCCGTCAGTCGACTCTCACGACAAGAAAAGGGTGATCTAGTCTACGGCGCTGCAATTCGTTGTGCAAGCCAGGAACCTGTGATTGTGGGTTCGAATCCCGGTTCGCCCTGATTATGTCTTTGGTTGGTCAGATCGTGAGGTTTCAACAAAGCCGTGAACATCTGAGACCTTCATCACTTCGAGCTTTCCTCCCCCATTAAGCTGACACATGGTGATACCAATGGAACACTGTTCAAAGCGGCTTGAAACTAAACTCACTCACTAATAATCTCGCAGTGTGTGTGTGTGTGTATGTGTGTGCGTTTGAGCGTGCGCGTGTGTGTATGCGAGTGAACAGTGTGTGCCCTGCGAGTGACTGCACCAAAGCTTCATGTTCGCTCTAGCATTTACATAACAGAAGTAATCATTTGATGTTGCATATGTTTTATTGATTTTTACATTTACATACATACTTTTGTATATCTATTTCTATAACTTGTATAATCATGACTGATCAAACTCAACTATTAGTGTTCTTTCAACCATGACTGAACAGTGACAAAGCTCATTAATAAAACATGAAGCCCTAATCATATGCGATATTATACTGCAGGATAGACGGAACATTCAGAGCATGACGATGGTTGAGTGTATCAATATTTACAAACCAACAAAAACTGATACATTTCAATATCACCAATATTATACATGTGAGAGAGGAGAGAGAGAGAGAGAGAGAGAGAGAGAGAGTGAGAGAGAGAGAGAGAGAGAGAGAGAGAAAGAAAGAGAGAGAGAGAGAGAGAGAGAGAGAGAGAGAGAGAGAGAGAGAGAGAGATTGTAACATTTGAGACATGTTCTATTTTCTTATGTTTAGTATAGGTCCACTTGCAAGTTTCATCATCAACGTAACAGAATGTCGCACCTGTGTCGTGATATCTGGAGTCCTAGGCCTTGTGGGTTTCACTGCTAATGTATTTGTAGACGATATCAAGTGGCTATTCGTTACACATGCCCTTCTTGCAGGTAGGTTCAGCGTGAGGTTAGGTGAGGTTTAACGTCGCGTTCAATATCATTACACTTATATGGCGACGTGCATGCACGTGTGTGTGTAGGCTTGTACTACTCCGGACTAATGCGAATTTTAAAGTGGTAACCCACTGAGATACAATGCCGCAGTTTGACATTATAACCCCTCTCAGACATAGTATACTGACTCTACTGAGCCTATACTCCGGCTATACTCCAGCTATGGTGGCCTGTAAATAACCCTGTATTGATCAGCACAACTTGAGTTCTTGAGAATTGGAACCATTGAGCCTGGCTCTGTGTGTGTATTAGTTCGGACTAGAGCGAATGTTGTGCTAGCCCACTGAGATACAAGGCCGCAATTTAACATGAATGCCCCTCTCATACATAGTTTATTGACTCCGAGCTGACAAGATCTTGTTTTAGCCCCTTAAAGTCGTGTGTGTGTATGGCTGTGCGTGGCTGAGTGAGTGTGTGTGTGTGTGTGTGTGTGGCTGTGTGTGTGTGTGTGGCTGTGTGTGGGTATTCTATATAGGACTTGAAGGATATGTGTTTTTTCTTTAGGAGTTGGAACCAGCCTAGCACACACGGGTGCCATAGTGGTCCTCGGCTACCATTTTTCAGACAATATGAATCTGGCTTGCGGCATCGCCGTGTGTGGGATGGCCGTCGGTTTGTTTGCCCATCCACCGTTATGCCAGTTCCCCATAGATACATTTGGGCTTCACCAAGCATTTCTCATCGTGGGAGCAATAGCGTTCCATTCATGTGTCTGTGGGATGCTCATGAAACGAGAGGGAACGTCGCGCCAAGGTTTTCAGTGGAAGACCAACACGTCTGACGCTGGTCATGATGTTGTGTGGAGATTGTTCTGGTTATGCTAAAGTTTTCAGGAACAAATCGTTTCTGTTCTTTCTTATGTGTAGTTTTTCATTCGGCATGGGCTCATCAGCAATCTATCTGTACCTCCCAGACTTTCTACGGAAACAAGGGATATCTCTTCAAGCAGCATCTTTCAGCGTTTCAACTTCGGGTGTAGGCGGTTTAGTCTCGCGTGTTCTCACGGGATTTGCAGCACAAGATCCAAACATTGGCGGTGGACTGATATTTGCTTCCCTGAACGGCCTCATGGGGGTGTTATCGTTCCTCATCCCCTTATTCACATCAAGCTCAGCAACAGTGTGTGTGTACGGCTTCTTCCTTGGACTCTACAACGGTAGCAGCTGGGCACTGTTTAATCCCATCACATATGAAATTCTTGGAATGGATCTCGTGGCAACCGGTTTTGGAGCTGTAATGGGTTCTTGTGGCTTCGGATTTCTCATTGGTGCGCCTTTAGCAGGTATTGGTTGCGAACCAGTTGACAAATGAAGAATGCGTTAGTGTTGTTTTAATGCACTGTCAGCAAATTTTCAGCTATATTTCAGCTATATTATGGTGTAATTTTATTTATTTAATGATCTAATCTGGTACGGTAAATCAGTCATTGATAGCATATGCACAACATGCATCATACGGACACAATAACACATGTCACACGACAATCATTGCAACGGTAAAACCTTCCATTTACGTCATGTAAAACATGCACATAGTAGATAAACATCAGTGCAATTATAAAATAAAGTTTTAAATGTTAAGTGCATGTGTACTTGCAACTGGGCTGTACTTCGGACAAATGAACAGGAGAGCGGTGTTGTTTTGGCGAACACCTTGTGTCATCACTGTTTTTCAGTGATCAAATATAAACTGTTTACGCCCAGTGGAATCTGTTTCTGCAGATAATCGAGACTCAGAGTCCTCTGGTGTTGACGTTTTATATTTAAATAGGGAGAACACCGTTCCTCAGTTCACGCACCGTTACCTAACAGCCTGCTTTCTATCTTCCAGGATATGTCTTCCAAATTTCCAAGGTCTATTATGGCGTCTACATATTCGCAGGTACGTTGCATAGCGTAGCTAATCCACGCAGGTGCCCGTTTACTGGGGCATTACACATTTTTATTTCACTATTTCGGATCACGTTAATTTCTCTAAGGCCCGTTTTTAAACTTTTTGTGATATAGTAATAGATCGAAATAATTCCTGCCAACCAGGTATTTTTAAATGAACTAGAGTGATGTGTGGAGACAATTTCAGCCAACGAGAAAACAAGGCAATAAACATATTGTCTTTACAATGTAGAGCCATGTCACCTGTAGAGTGTACAGCTTTGAAGTGTATTGGGGATCTCCCGTACATTATATTTATTTCCTTTCTACTCATAAAACTTAACGTGAACTCTGTGGCATGGCCTTATTTCACTACATTGTTTTGGGACGGATGTCGATTCGAATCAAGGAATGGCCAACATCAGTGTACCATTTTAAACTAAACTGACTGGCAAAAGAAAGTTGGCACGTGAGAATTTTATTGGACCAAGAAATTACAAACGTTATCAAAACGTAATGAAGCTGAAGACAGCAGCCAAAATTAAGGTTCAAAACTTAACTCTGATACCTGTATTGAAACACCACCATCGAATAACCACTTCTTGTTTTTAGTTTATTTTAGCCACCATCATACATAAGTGTAAGCTTTAAGCATACATTGAGAAACCAAAGTCAAGATGTCCATTTGCGGTAGATGCTCCTGATGTCAATCTCCTGATGTGCGGCGTTAAACAACAAACAAACAATATCTCAGCTTTATGTCGACGGTCTATTAATATTCGAATCTGTACAAAACAAATCAGTGAATGATATTATGAGAAATGTGCCAAGGCGTCAGGGTATGAGTGAGTGAGTGAGTGCGTTGGGTTTAACGCCGCTTTTAACAGTATTCCAGTTCTATCATGGCGTGTCAGCTTAAAGTGGGAGGAAAGCCCGAAGTGATGCAGGTCTCAGACGTTTACCACTTCGGTGAGACCCACGAGCACGGGTATGGTGCTGACAAACCTAGAAACATAATCGGGGCAAACCGGGATTCGATCCCACAATCATAGGTTTCTGGCGTGTCCAAGGAACGCAACTCTGCACAGCGAATTGCGGCCCCTTAGACGACCGACTGGGCCACCCGTGGCCCCTAGTGAGTGAGTGAGTGAGTGAATATTTAACTTCACATCGGCAATATGTCGTGAAGAGAAGTAATACATAATAATAAATATACACTGAACCGCAAAAGAAACGTCACCATGGATAGATATATGAGAAACCTTATTTGTCCAAACACTGTTGAGACATACTTTGAGACATTAAAAAGATGTAACTTGGCAAAACTGATCACCAAGGTTGAAATTAAAGTGTCAAATGTTCTTAAAGTGAAACACAACACAAGTTTCTGAGAAAATGGCACCTCAAGGCAGTATCTCGTGTGTCCGCCATGTGCATTGATGACTGCCGTGCAACGTCGATACCTGGAGTGGATGAGGCGGCTGATGAAGGTCACACACTCTGAGGAACGCCTTGCGCAGTTCAGGTGCAGTTGTCGTCCTTGGTCGGACGTCATTCAGCCGTCTTTGAATCTCGTCCCACAGGTGCTCAATAGGATTTAAATCGGGACTGAGGGTAGGCCACTGCATAGTTCTGATGCAATTCTGGTGGAGGAAGTCGCTTGTTGCTCTCGGAATGTGGACACGGGCGTTATCATACTGAAACGTCGTGGTTGCGGCGACGTGCCAGATGAGGTATGGCGTGTGGTCTCAAGACTTGATCAATGTACTGAGCTGCTGTGACACCATTGCCTCTCCCTGGTCCGATGTTCTGGATGACCAAAGGGCCGATCCTCTGTGCAAGATCAATTCCACCCCACACCATGATGCTCGGACCACCCCACGAGTCTCTCTCAAAAACACAAGCATCCGAATAACGATTCCTACGGCGTCGCCAGACTCTCACTCTGCCATCTGCTGTTGAGATACAGTAACGGCTCTGGTCTAAGAAGAGGACTCTTCTCCACTGCTGGTGATGACGTGGTGTCAGAATGTGTCCTCGGAGTGGCCTGTGTCAGTGAAGGTGTCTGCCCGTCAATCGTCAATGCACGGTGTCCGCACTTATGTGTCGCTGGTCTTCCCCCCATGGTCTGTCGAGCAGTTTCCGCAGCAGTAACAAAGCGATCTTGAAGATGCTGTCGCACAATCCCATGATCCTGACTTCGGGTGGTGACCCCTTGGTCTTCCACTACGTGGTCGGTCATCTGTAGTGTTGGTGGTCAGGTACCATTGCTTGAGCCTGTCTGTATATGGTCCTCTCGTGGACTTGAAATGCATTGGCTACTTGCGGGGCGGTTTGTCCATCTTGCAATCGTCAAAGGGCTTGGTGTCACTGATATCTTGTCAATCTTGAAATGTGGTAGCAATTCAATAAGGAATGAATGTTATCCAATCTGGCTGGATTTATAGGGCAAGAAATGGAGGAACGCATGTGCATTTCAATTTGCACGGAAGTCACGTGCATCAGGTTTCCATGGCCGTTGCCGTGATGCGTTTGGGCGATCGGTTTTATTGTCATCAGCTATATTTTTTTATCATCAAATTTCATTTTTCAGGACAAGGTAATGTTAAATTTTAGAAGCTTGACAACAATTACCCAGATATTTAAATGACAACTTTTCATACAATGTTACTTGGGGTGACGTGTCTTTTGCGGTTCAGAATATGTAGACTTTATATAAACCTGTCTTTGAAGGACAGTACAATAACTAGAATATCACAGAGTCGATTTAAAACTATTTGAGGAACATTTAAAAGCAGAAAGAATTAACAACACAATATAAGAATGGGCTAGAGATCACCAGTAACTAAAGGGAGGTCACCATACCAGGGACCATGGGGACTTACAGTATATTTGCCTTACATACCCCCTTAGCGTTGGGGTCTGAGGTCACGGTGCCTGGCCACCCGATCTATTTAGTTGCCTCTTACGGACAGCATTGGTTGCATCTTCATCTTGTGCAACCGAACACATGATGTTACTGAAGTGCAACCGAATTCCTTCAAACCAAAGACTAAGACCAGGCACCGGCTGTGAAGGGTCCGCCGTTTTGCTTTCCAAAGCCCGTGACGGTTTTTTTTAAAGTTCATTTTCGATATAATAAAGTGTTACTATTTGGAGATACGTGACGTAAGGAGAGATTGGAATGTAGGTTAAAAATAATTGCATGATTTGTATTTTATTTGTAGAAGTGTTTTGTCAGTCCTAAATCTCTCATGAACACACAATATTAAATATGTCGATCCGCATTCCCCCGTTTCACACTGAACAGTTACTAAAAGGCGATGAACATAGTCGAACGTGATGCCGATTTAAAGAGCTAGCACATTGAGGTGCCATGCCGCAGTTTAACATGTATATCCCACTCAGACCAGTCCTTGTGTTAGACCCTTAATGTCGAGCGCCAGACAGGGTAACAACGAGTACCATCTTCTGGTACGACAAGGCCGGACCTTCCGTTCAACGGGCGACGCTCTACCACTTGACTACAGAAGCGTCGATTTAGTTGAAGATAGGCCCCCGTTCAACCAGACCTTCTATCTCCTCACATGCAGCTTGGGCTGCATACTCTCCAGGGAGCTGAGAATGACAGGGGCAATAATATTGTAAAGCGCCTTTTTTATTAGCATGGCTGGAACTCTGCACTACAGTAAACTACGGTTATAACGAAGGGACCACCCATTTTAGTTTGTAATAACCGCAGTTCATTATAAGCATATATGCAACACATGGCCAGGGACATGTAAGTTCGTTATATCGGTCAGTTCGTTATAAGCGTGTCCGTTATAACCGTAGTTTACTGTATATAAATAGATTATCATTTTGTATATTATTATTATTATTATTATTATTATTATTATTATTGTTAATATTAATATTATTATTATTATTATTATTATAAGTTGATTATTTATATACACATGGTGTCATAATTATAAATGACTCCTCTCGTTCCATCAGGTGTGATGTTCTTTTCACGACACTGCGGATGCGCTGAACCCAAATGAAGTTGAAATCATCAATCAACAAGATAGTGAACCACAGGACAGTAGCCTAATGTGATAAATTTGTTAGTTTCCATTGTTGTTATATATAACAGTTATTGATTGAAACTGGCGTGTTTGCTTATTTCCAACAGTCAAATCACCGTGAATAGCTGAATTCGAAATTATGCACATTAATTATTGTTGGACGGAACCCTGTCCTTGGACCCGAAAGTATGACTAACACCCCGTGCTGTGAGGAATATTTCAGCCTGAATATAGGCAAGTGGCAGTAGATTTATATGAAGAGTATCGCCACCCAGTACACATGCTTGTGGATCCGTCAAGATCCGGGGTAATAAGTCTTCAGCAACCCATGCTTGCCGTAAAAGGCGACTATGATTGTCGGAGAAGGCGA